AATGTTAACAGAGTAAGCAAACATTTGCAAGCGGAAGACATGCATATTGATGTTGCTATAGACCATTTAAAAGGTCTCATTTCATTTTCCAAAAGTTATAGAGAATTTGGTTTTGAATCGGCCATGGTAGATGCTAAAGAGATTGCAAGTGAATTAGAAATTGAACCGATATTTCGTGAAAAATGGGTTATACATAGAAAAAAGCAGTTTGATGAGACTTCTTTTGAACAGATAACACAAACAGCTGAAAAATATTTTAAGATTATTTATTTCTTATATATAGTGGATCAAGCTCTATCATCACTTGAGAATAGATTTGAGCAATTTCAGAAATATGATGATATTTTTGGATTTTTATTTGATTTGAAAAGACTTAAATTTATTGATGATGATGTTTTGAAGTGTTCTTGCATTAAACTTGAAAATTACTTAAAGCATAATACGAAAATCTTTTATTGATAGAATAGAATTATTTTCTGAGTTGAAAATTTTAAGGGAAGCGATATCTGAAAACATATTTGGAGCAATTGATGTATTGGATTACATTAAGAGAATGAACTGTTGTTTTGCAAATACCCGGATTGCTTATAGAGTATTATTGATCATTCCTATTATAGTTGCCTCTGTTGAAAGAAGTTTTTCAAAGTTGAAATTGATTAAGTCTTATCTTCGATCATCCATGTCACAAGAGCGATTGAATGGATTAGCTATGATTTCTATTGAAAAAAATATGTTGGAAAAACTTGATGTTAGTAGTTTGATTACTAATTTTACATCTCAAAATGTGAGAAGGTTAAATCTTATGCTAGCCTAATCTTTCGGATTGTAAAAGAAGTTTTATTTTGCTATTCCATCTTTTGAATTGTATAAAGTTTTCTTTTTAATATAAAAGTGTTAATTATTTAAATATTTACATATTGTTAGACTTGTAAAATAAATTTTGTGATGAGGGGCTTCATATTAATTAAACACCTAGGGCCTCTAAATTCTCAGGACCGACCCTGACCGTGGCAAATTGATGTGGATACTGTACATAGAGGTAGAGATAACTATATATTTTAGTGGAAAGATAAAAAGATCATGGTTGCACCAATAGGGAGTGCACAGAAAACTCCAAAGGTGGAAGGGAAGGCTTTCTTGGCTATTGCAGATTCGGCCAGTGAGTTTTCTTCCAATGTAAAGGAGTTTAGAAAAAATTTTGCTTTCATATCCAATGCGAAAGAAGTCATCAAGAAAATTATTGGATCTGTTAAAAAATCATTGGAGGAGTTTCAAGATATGACTATAGGACCAAAAGAATACCTCAAATACGACATATTCAGCATCAAATTGATTTTGTCCTTATGGCTCACCTGTCGAACCTATCCCATTATCGGATGAATCCAAAAGAGAGTTAAATTTTAAAAGAAAAGGTCGAAGAGTTGCTGCAAAAGGGTCACATCAAGAAGAGTATTAGTTTGTGTGCAATACCAACCTTACTAGTACCAAAAAAGATGGATCATGATGAATGTATGTTGATAGTCGAGCTATCAATAAATTACTGTACAGTACAGGTTTACTATACCTGCACTAAATGATATATTGGATCAATTGATTGGATCTATTGTGTTTTCGAGGATTAAATTTGAATAGCGAGTATCATTAGATTCGAATCAGGCCTGTAGATGAGTGGAAAATAGTTTTCAAAACAAATGAGGGCTTGTATAAATGGCTTGTTATACTTTTCGGCCTTTCCAATGCACAAAGTAATTTCATGTTGTAGATGAACCAAGTATTGAAACATTTTTAGGCATATTTGTTGTCGTTTACTTTGAAGATATTCTAAATTATAGTCGAAGTGTAGTTGATCACGAAGAACACTTGATGGAAGTGTTGGAAATATTGCAAGATAATGGGTTATTCATCAATCTAAAAAAGTATAGCTTTATGATGAATAGAGTTCTAATTCTGGGGTATGTTGTAAGTTCTGAAGGGATACATGTTGATGGGCAGAAAATTCAAGCTATTAGGGATTGGCTAACACCAAGTTTCCTTACCAAGGTACGAAGCTTTCATGGGCTTGCTACTTTCTATAAGCATTTTATTCGAAATTTTAGCATTGATGTGGCTCCAATAATGAACCATTTAAAGAAGAAGAGGGAAAAGTTTGAGTGGACTGAAGCTGCTGCTAAGAGCTTCGAGGAGATCAAGCAAAAATTGAATTCTGTTCCTGTTTTGGCATTCCCTGATTTTGAAAAAAAATTGAGATTGAATGAAATGCTGGTGGCACTAGAATCGGAAGAATAGTTTCTCAACAAGGCAAATCATTAGCATATTTCAATGAAAAGATCAATGAGGCCAGATAGAATGGGTCAACCTATAAGCAGGAGTGGTACGTAATATTTTGAGCATTGAAAAATTGGGAGCATTACCTGCTGCCACGAATTTGTGATCTATTCGGACCACCAGTCTTTGATACATTTTAAGAACCAAAGAAAAGTGAAGAATAAGATGCATGTTCGTTGGACAGCATATTTTAGACAGTTTAATTATTTGATAAATCACAAATCTAGAGCCACCAATCGGGTTGCTGATGCTTTGAGCGAGAGAGATGCTTTACTGGTCACTTTAAGTAATGAGATGGTTGTTGGATTTGAATTCTTACAGGAGCTTTATGAAGGAGATGAATACTTTAGGTCGTTGTGGGCACAACACTTAACAAAGTAACTGATGGATGATTTTGTAGTACACGATGGCTTTTGTTTAAAGGAAATCAGTTGTGTATTTCGTGCACTTCATTGCGTGAGAAATTAACTAGAAAGTTGCATTCTAGGGGATTGAGTAGTCATTTACGTCGAGACAAATTAGCAATCTCGATGAATGCTTTATGAAGGAGATGAATACTTTAGGTCGTTGTGGGCATAACACTTAACAAAGTAACTGATGGATGATTTTGTAGTACACGATGGCTTTTGTTTAAAGGAAATCAGTTGTGTATTTCGTGCACTTCATTGCGTGAGAAATTAACTAGAAAGTTGCATTCTAGGGGATTGAGTAGTCATTTACGTCGAGACAAATTAGCAATCTCGATGAATGTTACTATTGGCCATAGTTAAAGAGGGATGCCAGCATAATCGTCAGGAAGTGCCCAGTTTGTCAAACGCAGAAGAGACATGGGTAGAATATCGGGTTGTATATGCCTTTGTCCATTCCAAAGCAACCTTGGGAAGATCTTTCTGTAGATTTTGTGATGGGACTACCTCGTATACAATGAGGTTCAGATTCTATTTTTTGTAGTGGACAGATTCTTGAAAATGACACATTTTATTCCTTCTTGTAACACTAGTGATACACAGTACCTGAGGTCCCTCGATCTTTCACTTCAAATCAAGATTCAATGTTCTTAGCTTAATTTAGGTCAACTTTGTAGAAGTTTGGGACAGAATTTCAAATTAACAGCAGTGTGCATTCTCAAACCAAGGATCAAACTGAAATGGTTAACAAAACTTTAGAGAATCTGTTACGACGCATATGTGGTGAGACAAAGAAACGGTGGGATCTTGCATTAGTACATGCAGAATTTACATATGATAATACAACTTCAACGGGTAAATCACCTTTTGATATTATTTATAGGACTCCGCACAAGCAATGGACTTTGTTAGACTTCCAAACTCTATGAAAAAGAGTGTAGTAGCTGAACAACTGGTTGAATAACATGTGGAGGTAATTGAACGAGTGAGAAAAAAGTTGGAAGCCTCCAATTCAAAGTGTAAAGCTACTGCTGATACACATAGGCACCATAAGAAGTTTCAAGTTGCTGATATAGTTAGCGTTCTTAAGAAAAGAGCATGGTGGAAGTCAGAAGAAGCTGGATCAAAAGAAGTATGAGCCTTTCAAGATTCTGCAAAAGATCAATAACAATGCATATGTCTTGATTTTCGTGAGCATATGATGATTTTCAAAATGTTTAATGTTGCAGATATTTATGAGTATGTTTCAAAAAATGATATCCTAATGTAAACTCAGGGATGAATTCTTTTGAAGTGAAAGGGATGACACTAGTCAATTAGAATAGAAAATTCTAAACTAATTAAAAAAGAGAAGAAATAAGAAAGATCTACAAAAATGTACATAACTTTCATCTCGATTATCAGGTATTCGTCTGTTAGTACAATCAGAAAGCGTTTTTCAATTCTATCATTTGGGGGTCTATTTTGGCATTCTTCTATTTTTAGTTAATTTAAGGGTATTTTCAATTTATTTTTTTTGCAATTTTTAGTTTAATTTAAATTTATCAACAAAATTAGGATTTCAATACGATTAGAATCTGTTTTCAATCTATAAATACATTTTATGGTTATAAAATTATTACTTTCGTTTTTTATTAACAAGATATTTTATTTTTTCCGTTGTACGATAGATTTCAATATTTCTCATGTTCATTTGACTGAAATTCGAACTAACACCCGTTCGGGTGTGTTACGAACAAGAATTAATTATTATTGTTTTAAGTTTTCGTCATTTGTCAATGGTGGCAAGTATAGATTTGTGGCTGTGGTGTTGGTGGCAATGGTAGCGACGGTAACAAATATGATCAATTGTGGTGGTATGTGTGTTAGGGGAGTTTGGTGCAGCGTTGACAATGGTGGTGCAGCGTTACAAGAGATTATACGGCACAGAAACACAATTTTAAACTGGTATTACACATGTAGACACTTCGTAACAAAATGTAGAAAATACTTATTGAAAAAAAATTGAGTAACTTGATGTTTGAAAGGTTAAATAGTGTATTGAGAAATACTTCAATTTTTAGTTTATTTGTGTTAAGTTCCGAACCTTTAATTGAACGTCTACGTTTTCGCATCAAAAGTTTGACGAGATATTCATCTAAGCATTGACATAAAAAAGATGCCTTGTACTAACAGTGACAGTTTTTCTGTTAAGTTGAAATGTTAAATGAATAGATAGATCAATTTATCGTGTCGCTCAACTGAAACTGGAAACTCTGTGATCAATGCTATCAGAAGAAATAGTTCATGTACAGCATTAAACACGTAAACAATCAATCAACTCCATATCAGTAGCTCTTTCCCTGCATTTCCTAAACATAATCAAAAAATTTCCAAATTTTTTGATACCTCAGAAATGTTCATCAGTTAATTACATGCAAGTTCCCTTTGAAAAAGAAAAAATTATTAGGAAAAAAAAAAGAAAAACGTTATTTTAGCATGGATTTTCAAGGTTGGCACTCGTTACAATAGGGACAGAGAGTTGGGGTTCACAACAATATGCTTGAGAGGTTGATCCACATCACTACCTCCTGCATGCAAGACAAACTCCGCTGGTGACAAGAAGCTTCCATGGCAAATACACATTATCCGCACTTCTTCTCCTTTTCCATATTTGTATAGTATCCCGTCCACTCTTCTACCACTAGGGCCGTCTCCTTTTGTAAACACACATGGCATATCCTCCATCATATTTGTTCCCATCTCTTTACCTCGATTTCTTGTGTTATGAGATCTCTTAGATGGACTCTCCGTATTTTCTCTTGCTTTTGTCGTGGAAGAGCCTACTTCCCGATCTTGCAAGGACGGGACGCTGACAGGACTCTGATCATCACCACCTGCAATAGAAAAGAGTAGATCTAAAAACTCAAAAGCAAGAATCTTGTGCGATTCTTCCCAATTATAGTAGATATTCATATAAGAATACTTGAATACATAATTGGAATATGATGGATTATGCAGAAAGGTATCGAATTGTCACTTCTAGTGTCAGCAACTTGCAAAAAGGACTGGAACACTATACTTCACAATAAAATTTATAAATATTGCTAAAAATTGTGTTATTCTCCTCCAGAAGAAGAGTGACATTTAACCGAACATCAATCTAACTCTGTCAATATAGCCTAGCAGCCCTTACCTAATTGATTTCCATTTTAAGAAGTAAAATAACTACTACAAAGTGTCAACTGCTAGAAAGAGACATACTTGTATAGGATTATGTTTTGCAACTGCTCAAGAACTAATTAACTATCAAGAGTATTTTTCAGTGAGTAGAAAGCTAGTTCATGAAACCCAGGAGCAACAATAAACATAATGAAAAAACCTAGCATTCGTAGTTCACCTTCAGCTATGCCAAATTGCCATGCAGTTATATCACTAAAAAGGAGAAAAGTACAAGGTTTTTCTCACGCCTTTCACACACTCAAAACTGAACCCCCTTAAGCCTCTGTTTGGGAAGAATTCATAAACAGTTTATCTTATAAACAGATACCATGAGTAATGGACGAGTGGATACTACTTGCGAGTCCATTTGAATGTGCAATTGAAAATGAAATTTGATCATTTATAAATGATTTATAAGTTTTACAAAATGAAGATAATCATTTATATCGTAGGAATTAAGCCAATCCCCTCAACTACTGTACAATATGATAAGGCTCCACTTCAACAATTCACACATTGAAACTATTCTGAATATATCTCATTTACAAAATGACTTGGAGCACCAAGGCAAGAAGGTAGACATATATTTGTATTCTAGCTAGGTGGGTCAACGTGGTTTTCTAGCCAAACTTCATATGAGTAATTTCATTAATTGTCATTCCCCCATCCAAAACCAATTTATGCAGCCCACGCCATTTGCATTTTGTAATCCAGGGAATACTTCTTTAACAATTAAACACTGGGGTAGCTGCCTAGAATATTTATTCTGCCTGCAAATGGACATACACTAATCTAAAACCCATAAACAAACCTCTGGTAACTAGTAGGGCGTATGGTAAGGAAAATTGAGTAGCACCAAGGAAGAATGGCCAATCCTGTCCGGAATCAAGCACGCATTAGACTCCTGATATCTATTTTCTAATCAATACGTGAACAGCATGTCTAAATATATTAGCAGAAGCATGCAAAACTGTTCTCTCTTTCCCCAAGTCAGTAAAAATAGAAATTCAACGAGTGAAAAAGTGACATTTCAGAATTTCTCAAAAAGCTACTTAAATCCATGTTCATTTATAAGTAATCTGTAAAGTGATCCTAATGACATAACTAAACTACCAGCAGATAATACGTCTTTAGTAATGCCACCAGACCATGAAACATGAAAGGCCACAAATTAGTGGAATCTAATCTCAGTAAGCCATGCCCATCCACAGCTAAACTACTATGAAGATTGATTCTAGCATTCCCTATTGTTGAGCTCCTATGACTATTTATTAGTAAAGAAGCAAGAGTATACAGAATAAAATGTACCTTAAACCTTACCCAGAAAAGACAGCATCTATTTCATTAACAAGTCCACTCATAAATAAACATTAATAAGGCAAAAAAAAAAATCTTGCAATACTAGTTAAAGATATAAATTTACATGCACTATCTAATCTCCTATAAATACTGACTAATGAGGAGGCAAAGAGATTAAATATAAATTATCTAAATAGGACAAAACTATTTCATATATTTTCTTTTGATGGTGAAATGAAATGCGATCATATTAAAATAATTTCAGGAATACACCAATTATGCAGATAAGTCAAATATGTTACACTTTAACTACAAAGGACAGCTCTATAATTTCTTCCCACCGTGAAATGGACTTTTATGAAGTTGAAGAATAATCTTTATTGCTCCAATTCACGTGCCAAAAAAAAAAAGTGTCACAAGTGATTACCAAGAGAAAAACACTTAATTGGCCCTTTCCAAACCTGAATGCTCACAATCATCCATCATGTTGCTACTATTCAGAGTCTTTTATTTACTGTTAAGAGTTGAAGAATTCATCCAGTCAGTGTGTGCTTGTGATAGTATCTTCCCCCTTTTCTCCTTTTTCCATGGTATTCCTTTTTCATTACCTTTTCTATTTTAGTGGGGGATTACTACCAATGGTGCAACCCTTTCCTTGTGTCCTGAAAACTTAACCTTACAATTATTGTAAATTGAAACTTTGTTATCAAAAGGAATATAATTTCATAGAAATAAAGAATACGAAAAATTCAAGATGGTGACTTTAAGATTGACGGGTCAAGACCACTCGGATAAAACTTACATACATTCACATCAAAATAGGGAAAGATATACAGAAGAATATCTACAGAAATCCGGTAACTGGATTCTAGCACCCTATGCATCTTTATGACAGCAATATATGTTAATGACCTGAAATCAGTGCCAAAGCCTCAAACTAAAAGTTGAAGCACCAAAGCAATCTAGAACCATAATTTTTTTATGTAGAGATGAACATCAATCTATAATAACAATGTTACAATCATTTAACTCATCTTATAACTCAATACAAAAGTAAAACTTATTCACTATAGATCAAAAGCTTTCTTCTTCACTATTATCCAACCATAGCTCATCATATCCACAATCAATGCCGTTAAAAGAAATCTTCAAAGAAATCTAGCCAACAAGTCAATGATTATTTAAAAACAGAAAGAGGAATGCGAGTTTACCCACAAAATTTAAGTAGCATTTTGGTTAGCTGATCAAGCTAAGTAAAATGCATTCACAAAGCTATTTGTCAACAAAGAAGCAATGAAAATTGTAAACTTACGTTCCCATATCCGATATATATCCAAGTTTCGATATGGTTGGACACTCAAATATGTAGCAATATGTGTTTTTAAATTATTTTATATTTTTATAATTTTCAAATTTTCAATACATTTCGAACACGTTATGACACATAAAGAAGAGAGAATTATTGATTTTAAACTATTTTAAAACTCATTACTATTGACAATAATGACACATAAAGAAGAGAGAATTATTGATTTTAAACTATTTTAAAACTCGTTACTATTGACAATTGATGACAAAGTGTTTCATTTAATAGATAATTATTGTTATTATTAATAATTTATTGAAAATATATAGAGCATGTTTGGTTTGAGTCTCAGTAAAAATCAAACAATCAATATTAATCACATATTTTATGAATCACACAATTTTTCAACCACACACATTTCAAATTTTTTTATCAAAATCTACTAAAAATCTAATTTTAATTAACAATTTCAAAAAAATAAATAAATAAATAAACGTGTTTTAAGATACTAGATGACTACTTCACTTATTACTGAAAATAGTTATATCATTAATTAATTGACAACTAGAATTTTAAATTAATTGGTAACTAGAGTTTTATTATTGAAAATAGACAATGGTATTAATTCTTTTAATACATATAAAAGTGTGTTAACATTTGACAACTATAATTTTATCATTAGAATAGATATTGGTATTAAAACTTTAATATACATATTTGCGTATCCTTATTATTATTATTATTTTTTTTTTAAAAGTTGTATCTGTGTACTCATATCGTAATGCTTTCGAAGTACATATCTAAATCCATGCTTGTTTATTATGTCAAAATACCTGGTAAAAGATGGGCATGAGTCAATAAAGATCAGATCATTAAATGAAAGTACCCAATAGAACACAAGATTCCTTGTTGGATAATTTGATAAATTTTTATCCCTATAGGTCAGTGCTGAGGCCACACAAGTTTTCCAACATCAACTCAGGAGATCTGCTAGTTGCCAACTCTATTCAAACTCCAATCCTAATTGCAAAATATCCCTGTAACATATTTAACATGCTTTTTCCTTCAATGAAACAATGTCATCAATATCACAAATTTTTCATTTATCTAACTAGCCACAGAAGTTCCATTGGAGAGAACCTCATTGCCACTAGCTAAATGAGGTATTAACGGCATATTCTGCAGAATTGTGTTATAGTGGGGAGATTCAATAAAGAAACTACAAGGTAAAACCTTACTACCCTAAACAGGGGTTGACATTACAAAAGGAAAATGTGGCAGGTAATTTGAAATATGGTTACAATAGGTAGAAATTAAGGAGGAGGAGGAGGGAGGGAGGGAGGGAAGGAGAGAGAGAGAGGGAGAGGAGGAGAAATCCATCCAAATAGTACATCAAATAAAAATAACTAGTGCCACTCAGAAAGCACAGTCTGTTAATATTCAAATTATGCAAGTACTAAATGACAATTGAGGCCACGTTTCTTAGCAACTTAGCATATAACAGGTGATTGAAAGTTGGACTTAGAACGATTAAATTATACTTTCGATTCATTTTTCATGAATTCCAATTCAATGCTCCAACACTGTGCCACCAAACAAGGTGGAACATGAGGTAAAGTTCTTTAGTTAGGAACAGCAGCAGCCTCTCGACATCAAACATCAGCCTCAAAGACAGATATCAAGAATAATGAAATACGGGTTATTGTTCAAGAAATGTCAAACCAGGGACCTTTAGTTAGCTCAAGCAGATTAAATTCATTTTAACCTTATAAAGAAATCACGTCTGAATTCCAAAAGGAGATTCACATTATTGATTGATTACCCACCTCAATAGGTAGGCAAATGAAAGAAAAAGTAAATTGAATTACCTTGTAGAGGTTTACTGTCCAATTCAGACAAGCTTGAAGAGCTCCCCCCTTGTGACTCCAATGACCCTTGAGACATCGGTTGCCCAGACCCTTTCGTCCCACCGCCACTCTTCCCTTTTGGCACTGTTACATCAATCCCTCCTCCAAGAAGGGCTTGTCTAGCAGCAGCAGCAGTCCAAGAAGACAGACGGACTGGCGGCCCTGCCCATCTGTTCCCAGCTGCGAAACACTTTTCTCTATCCAATTTCGCCCTTAAATTCACCTCAATTTCTCTCTTCTCCCCCAAAATCAAATTGCCACCATTTCCACCACCACTGCAGCCGCCTTCTTTATCACCCTTCAATATCCTTTGCTTCTCTGACCTCCTCCTCTTAGCCTCCATTCTTCTCAAGGTCTGCAATTCCTTCCTCTTCCGCCACTCCTCCTCCGTCTCTACTGGCAATGAAGAGGTCCTCACAAGGCTGTTATATGCAGCCGGTGGTGGTGCCACCGCATCATTATCATCTCTCACCACTGGTGAACACTCTGCTACAGAAGATGACCTTACTAACTTCTTAGAACTCTTGTCTACACCAAATCTACCCCCCAATGACAACCCAAGATTCAACTCAATCTCCTCATCTTCGTCTTTCACCGCCTCCTCATATTCGCTACTGCTACCCATAAATCTCTGCAACAAGTCCTTAGAAAATCTGTTTGTTGCAATCTCCAAAGAAAGATTCTCCATTTTTGAAGCTCTTAAATCCCTCTTGCTATCATCACCATCCCCCATAGGAAACACAACAAACCCCAGTGCCAAGATCACAATATACAAAACTACTTCAACTACATGGAGTATATGAATGTTTATGCACTCCATGACATGAATCACACATGCCAAGATGGAAAAATCTGATCTTTGACCCCATATCAACTTTCTCAACCTCCAAAGTAAGAAAAATTTTACAGAAAATTCAAGCAAGGTTTTTAGTTGTAAACCTATGAACCGAGAACCCTACACTCCAATCAAGATTAATTTTTACCCAAAAAAAAAAAAAAAAAAAGCAAGAACCAAAACTAAGACTAATACTCACTCACAAGTCATAAACCAAAAATGAACAGAATAACGAAAATAAATACTGGGCTATCTGGTTAAGTAGGAGTAAATATTCGAAATAAAGCAAAGAAATTATTGGGTAAAAAAGAGGGTGAAGCAATGTAGAGGGTCTTGTGTTGCACTACCAATAGACCCAGGGCCAGGAGGAAAAACCAGTGTGTGGAAGATGGGAGGATTTGAAATGACTAAAATGCCCTTTGGTTAGTAGGGAATGTGGGGACAAGGAAAGAACTCAGAAAAGACAAGTGGCTGAAGTGAGAGAGTGTGGTCGACACGTGGATCAGACTGATAGGCTTTTTCGATAGGGTTGAGAACGGGTAATGTTACGGTGTGGTAGGGCTCATGTGGTGCTTTGAACTCCTTTGTTAATCATGGTCTATCATCACGCAAGAGTACAACACGGGCCAGATTAATAGTGAATAATTCTGCGTTTTTATTTTTCAAGAAAAAAATGATATCTACTTTCCCTAACTTAGTTATAAATAAATCATACATGTGAGGATCCTAGTTTAATTGTATAACAAAACAAGTGTTACATGTGACAAGGAATTTAGATTTTTTTTTATATTAAGTACCACATTCATTTTGTATTTTTTTCTTTCTCGAATAAAATAAAAAAGAACGGATACTAATATAAATTAAAAAAGAGAGCAATACAAAAAATTTATCAATCATGTTATTCAATTCACTCATCAAATATTTTGAGAGGTTTCTTTTAAGGTGACTTATCAAGAAGTACATGTATCTAAATATATACAAAAAAGAAAAAAATCATACGTTAATGTACTGAGTGTATAAACCTGATCAATATAATTGACAAGAATTGAATTTTTCTTCTTTAATAATTTTAGTTTTATGAATTCTACATAGAGCGTACACATTATAATAATCAGTCTTCATAGAACAGATCACAATTTTGGCAACCTTGATTTCATGAAATGCTTTCTTTTTACAATAATCTATTCAAATTCATTTTTATTCCTCACCCTGAAACTTGATATATAATTGTAATCTAAAAACCTCATCCACATCCTAATGGGACCACGCAATGAGTCCATCTAGCATGCCTTTAGAATTGACCTGTACCAGATCTCATGATAGTCCCAACTTCTCAGCTGCAAATTAGATCTTGTCAATTTACATTAATTTGTTTATTAAACACGCAAAATTACTTATAACATCGAAGCAGGACAAGGGTCGTGTTTCCTATTTTAGCCGTAATTTCTCGAACCTCGAGCCATTTAAAATGCGACAATGTAGAATGGGATGATATGAGATATCTTTCATTCCTACAAAGTACAATCTATTATAGTGAGGTGAAGTCCATGGTATAAAAACCCAAGGTGAAGAGACAGAGAGAAAGTGATGGGACGCGTGTCAAGAAATGAATGATGAAAGAGGAGCGAGACACGTGTATTGTTGAAATTCTGCCTCGTAATGCCGCAAAGTTTGTCTCCTTTTGCCTTTATTAATAATTGAAATGCACTTAGCTGTCGTCAAAGGATTGTGTCCTAATACTGCAAATTGGACACGTGTTTAGGAATTTCCAACTTCTTGTTCAGGTCAATTTTTAAGAAATTCCAATTGATGACAATTTTACCCAAACAAGGCACTACATTATTGGTTTTTGTGGGAGATTAGGGTACCCTCGATCTGTAATCTAATCTTAATGGTTGAACTTCAACCTTGAGAGTCCCTACCGCTCCGTTCCTGGAACTTCGTGAGGGAGGTAAATTACGAGATATGTCCCAACAGACCAAAGAACAAAAGTTTGTTTGTACACTGGTGCTCACAAAGAGTCAAATTTCATATCTCAGGAATCGAACTTTCACACTACATGTGCCAGCAAAATTGAAATTACTTCACTCCTATCTTTTGTACCATTGGCCTATGCCATGGGGGCATCTGTAATCTAATCTTCATTCCACCACACTGCACTCTACCACAACTTAAAACAAACTCGATTTAGCCCCGGTTTGTCACTCTTTTTTGAAAAATTAAAGAGTTTTGAATAATTTTTTTTAAAATGTGTAGTTAAAAAATAAAAAAATTTATTGGTTTCTGTGTAAAATATTTTATTGTGTAAATATGTGATAGAGAATGATACTGTAGCAAATAAATTAAAATTTTAAATAATGCCAAACAGACACTTGGTGTACTGCTCTTAACAAGTTGGACTTTTTAACATTGAGGGCCAAAAATTAATTTTTAGTAGATTTTAATAAAATATATAGTTGAAAAATTAATTAAAGTTATGAATTCATGAAATATGTGATTAAAAATAATTTTAAGAAAAATTAAATTTTAAAAAATAGTCGCCAAACATGAGCTAAAGAATTCGACAAGCTATCAATCTTCTCCAAAGTTTAAATATGCAATAGGATTTTAACTAAATAAGTCCCTTGGGATGTATAATGAATTAATTCAATAAAATTAGTTTTTTTGAATTTTGTCTTAATTGTATATTTCAAATTAGTCATATATCTTTCGGATAATAACACACTAGAGAGAGGGAACTAGAGTAAGGCGCCGTTTGTTTCTCATTCTTTACCCAAAAAAATATAAAATATGATAGTTATTCATCACATCAAGCCACCATCTTTAACTTTTTCTCGTTTATATGAATTTCGTAACGATTATATTTTTCATTATTATTCTTATAAGAATGGGAATCAAACGGAGGCTAAATTTTAAATTAGACATAAGGGATATGTGTTGTCATTTGAGTAGGTTAATTGAAAAGGTACAAAAAATGTAGATTAAATGCTAATTATGATACAAATTACCAAATGTCATCAATTGAGAAATTTCCTATCATTGCACATATAGGATGGTCTTAGCGAAATTATTCTCTTATCTATAATCTAATCTACTTGTCCGTATTTGAGCTAATTTCATACCCTTACCACCCCACCCCCAACCTCCACACCAGTTTACGGGTTTAAACTACTATTAATCAGTGTTCTAAAAAGTATAATACATGACGAGACGTGAAGAGCAAACTTCAAGGTAAATGAGTTAAGACGAGGCCTAGGCATAAAAAGCGTAAAAAAAAAAAGAAAATGATTTCTTATAATAATATTATTTTAAAATTTTAATCAATCTAAAAATTATTTAATAATACATACAAATTATAGTATCAAATAAGTTTAAGAGCCTAACAAAATAAATATGTTTTCAAACGATAAACAAGATATAGTATAATAGTGATAATTAAAAATATTTAAATAGTTTTTAGTTTTTTTATTAATTAGTAAAAGATAAGAAAATGATTAATTAACTTAATAAAATATGTATTTATATTTATACAATACTATAATACATTATAGGCAAACCAAAGATATAATACACTACAACCAAATCAAATGAATTCTAATCCCCAATGGTAGATCCAAGATATTGAACGAGATAGAGCAACTGATGATCGTTGATTGCCGCAACAATAAGATTGTTTATTAATATTTTTAATTAAATAATACTAAAATTTTTCAATCAACAGGAACCGTTCCTTCTATCATAAATTTCACACACTAATTTGTCAAATAATCGTGACATTTTATTTCAATCAATCTAACGTTCAATATCTTACGAATCTCAAGTGATTATAATAAACTCTCACATAATTTTAGTGAAATACATATTAAGCGTTGTATTGACTTAAATTAAAGGTCGTAATTATTTGTCAAAAAATTGTATCATATTTATGAGTAGGAGGAATGGTCTCGATATGTAAATGTACTAAAACGTAAAAGTTATATACATATGAAAATATAATTAAACACAACCCAAAATAATAATAATAAATACATTTTTCAATCATATATGTTTGATCAAGTTTTAAGTTTTTACAAACTTAAGCAAAACAAGATGAAGTCTACACGTAAAAAATGATTAAACGGTAAAAAACTTCGAGCTTAGGCAAAGTTTATGCAAAAATTTTAAAAGATATCAGATAAGGATATGCTAATAAATAAAATATAAAATAGCAAGATATTTTCTTAATTTAATTGTAAATCTGGATTTTGGCAAATAAAAATGGCAAAGGATTCTATTCCTTGGACATCTTTTACTACTCCATTAAGACACTTTGAATGGTTAGTCATGCCCTTTGGATTAAAAAATGCACCCTCTATTTTTCAAAGAAAGATTGATAGTATATTTAATTCTCTTTCATTTGTTTGTGTATATATCGATGATATTCTAGTACATAATAAAAACTATAAAGAACATATGAAATATTCAGATATAACCTTGAATTAATTTATAGAAAATGGTTTAATTATAAGTAAAAAAAAAGATGAAAATAAATAAACAAAAAATTGAATTTTTAGGAATAATTTTAGGAGAAGGAAAGATTCAGTTACAGCCACATATAGTGCAGACAATTTTACTATTTCCAAACAAAATTGAAGAAACCAAGAAATTACAAGCCTTTTTAGGAATATTAAATTATGCTAGACATTTTATTAAAGATTTAGGAAGAAAAGTATGACCATTGTATAGTAAATTGTCTAGTAAAGGACAAAAATATTTTAATCAATCAGATGTAGAATTAATTAAAAAGATAAAGCAGAAGTTAAAAATTTACCATCAGTAGAATTACCATTAAACAATGAATATAAAATAATAGAAACAGATGGATGTGAATTAGGATGGGGAGGAATTTTATATTCCAAACCAAATAAATATAGTAATAAAAAGAAGAAAAAATTTATAGATATGCTAGCGAAAAATACAAGATAAAAGGAAAATATTTAATTAATTTAGATTATGAAATAATGGTCATCATGCATAGTATAGAAAGTTTTAAATTATTTTTAAACACTGAATTTACAATCAGGACAGATTGTGAAGTTATAGTAAAATTTATTAAAAAGACAAATTTGATAAGACAAGACATAAAAGATGGCTGAAATTATATGAGATATTAAGCAGCTACAAAATTAATATAGAACATATTTATGGAAAAAATAATATTTTAGCAAATAATTTAAGTAGGCAAGTTATTAATTTTCTAATTCATTATCTTCATGGTGCAGATGGATCAAAGGATGATTAACTTTGGAAATGTCACTCTGAGAGTGGCCCCTCTAGAATCTAATCTTCGATTCAGAGGAACTAATTTAGAAAGACTACCAGAAAGGGAGAGTTGTTTACTAAATA